GAAGCGCATTTCAAGGTGAAAATGTTTTTAAAATATTATTTAACAAAACTGACTAATTAGGGAAAAAACTCACTGATTTCATTGGAGTGTCTTTGGGAGTGATTTGGGAGTAATTTCTTTTGAAATTACTTTGTCACATAATCAATTTTATTAAAATTACTGATAATTCACAAAAAGATAATTTCAGACATTCGTATTTTTTATCAAATTTACTTGGCCTGGTGTAGATAAAAACAATTTTTATATTCGTTTGAATAATAGCAACAAGTGTTCAGGTGTATTTTCTTATACCCCAATTTCATAGGTTATATACACAAAGGCATAAATCCGGTTTTAAGATTGCTGAAATAATTGACATAAAAAATTGAACCACATACAATTATTTAGTTTTTATTTTAAGAATAAGAAAATGTGAGATCAGGGCGATTTTTTATACAAAGGGAACCTATAAAGTTCTATATAGTTTAGTGACTCTTCTACCGGACTAGAACGCAGATTTGTTTGTTTTAAATGTGATCAGTTTGAATATACAATCTAGCTGTGCCAATGTTTCTAACTTACATTGCAGGTGTTATTATATGTTACATTGCAGGTGAAGATATTAATATGTCCATGGCAAATAAAAGAAAGATTGCCTGTATTCAAAAACAAACGTTGTTTTTAAGTTATATTACTTATAAACACTACAGATATTGTAAGAAGTTTTTACATATACTTTATTGTAAGGTAATAATAATATATAATTTGAGATTTAATTTTATGACCATCTTACACATAGTATAGAATATTTTAAGGTTGCAATTCAGTACAGCAGATATCGAAGAAGAAGTTAGAATATATAATTACCCATGAATTCAATTAAGTAAAACCAAACCAATCCATCTAGTGCTAGTGTTTGTCTGTTTTTGTACAAGCTTATCTTAAAGCCAGCGACCTATATATCGTCCTAAATAGTTTTCGTAGGCAGTTTCAAAATAACTCTGCTTAGGTTCCTGAGTATGCGAACATAGTGAGGAACAAGGACAATGATAAACTATCGAGTCTTAATGCCTTTTCGAAAAAACCTCCTGTATCAACCGCTTTTGGTTGATAGTCGCAGACGAAAATTAAAATATAAATGATAATTTTTTGCGATAGTCAAATAAAAATTAGTCTATCAGCTAGGTTTTGAGTGACGTGATCGACATATTTCAAATATAAAACCAGTTCATACAGACAAATAAGTTGAATATAAAAAATAATATCGGTTCTTGCATGACACTAAACTATGCAATGACATGGAATTATACTACGTTTTCCTGCTTTCTCGAAACTGCTACAGATAATACTAAATGGCGCTGAGGACATGATTTGTTCAGATACCGGTTTAAGCTTATGGACAACCTATTCTTTAATTCAGTCAACAATATATCCGTCATTTTTCCGGTTTTTGCGAGGCACTAAACTATAAAACGAGATAGAACTAGGCTAACCCTGCCTTGTCAAAACTGCTACAAATCATGTTAATCGACACTCTACGAGGACATACCAGAGCACCTGTTTTGACACTGTCCAAATTTATGGAGATTTATTTTAAGAGACTATGCAACTCTTATTTATGTAAAATTTATTTTTATTGCATATATATATTTCATATTTATGGTAAAGAATTGTAAACGCTTACTGGTTTTAAATTAAGTTCAATTTTAGTGAAGTAACTCCATTAACTCAACCATCTCTTACAACTTCGCTAAGGTGACTGACTTTAATTTTCGTACTAGTTTTATTAAAAAAAACTGCACGTAATCGAATTTATGTTGTAGTATCCGTATTACAAGGGCAATAACATCACCTACAATAAAAAGAACGTAGAAAGTGACGTGGTTTATTGACAAACCTCTATGATATTTACGAGTATTGCGAAGATAATGACGAATTGCTTGTCGAATTGAAAACATTGTTAAGTAATTGATGTACAATGAATCTATTATGCGAACAGATAGAAGATACAAAAAATCATTAAAGAAAAGAAAACATCAATTGAATTGATATCTTCTGCTTTAATCTTCGCTTCCTCATCACTTGGGTAACATTTTTCTGCATGAAATAAAAAACGCTTTTACTTTTATTTTTAAAGAAGCATTAGACCGGGACCCATTTACTTGATTCGATATGAATCCATTCAATAATCAGAGTTCTGAAATTGCAGTGCAGTTGTTTATTTACTTAACTTTGTTTCATTTTAATAAAACTATAGAAAATGGATCTTTGATTATTAATTTAATCAGAGATAATGAATCTAAAAATCAAATTAATGACATTCTTTTATTCTGAACAATATATAGTATGGACCGCTTTAAAGGCACAAAACTAATTATATCCATAAATGTCTTTTGAATTTCTAGAAAGCAATCAATTAAAAATTTGTAAGTAAGTTACTATATTTATAATCATGGGTTAAATTCTAATAATAGGTTTGTAGGCTCAGATTTTTTGTCTTTCAATTAAGGTGTAAATCATCATAATCATCACATTCAAGGAATAATGTGGAAAGATTATACTGTAAATTTTATTTCGTTGTTAGAATAATCTACTCTTTTTCAAAATGTTAAAAGTATTTGAAAAACATAGAATACTCCCTACAATGTCAGGGTCCAGACTTTAATGCTTTACTTCGCAACAATTGTAACGGATTCTACCTTAATCAAAGGTAGATTAAAATATACTGTTGTCAGTTAGTCCAAGTTAAAAGTGTTTGGTGACCACCAAACTGCACTTATGAGTGGTTCAGAGAGGTTGTGGTTACAACCTAATCCAATAGACTTGTCACTTACTTATATTTCTTAAGAAACCAGTTTAGATTACTTTAGATTTAGATTTCGCTATATACTGCTAGACTTAAATGTGAATCTGATGATCTTTGATTGTGATCCATATAGATAGATATTGCTATACAAATATTAGATATACGTATATATGTTATAAAAATAAACAAAAACCTGTATTATTTTTGTTTAAAGTGGTAACCGTCTGAAACATGTATGAACTCATAATTAATAATCTTTCTTTAAGCTTTGTGTTCCTGAAAAATGATAAACAGCAAACAAACTGACATTACTGCGTTTCTGCGAACTAAAAAATAAAAAGTAAAAATCACAAAAAACTACATAACAAGAAATCAGTTTGTCGATTTTTGTTATCTGAAATTCAGCGAAGAGAAATACATGATTACGTGTTTAATTTGATATTACTGCAAATTCCGATATAAATTTTGAAATAAAAATTACTTCACTTATTATCAAATTCAATTTAAATGAAATCCAATTTAATGTTTTTTGAAACGTAACCCAGCTCTACTCTTTAAGATTAAGAAAAGTGCTTCAGAGTGAAATCTCTTCAATAATATAGTGGAATAAATAATAATAAATGTGTTATTTATGATGATCTATGACAAGTTGTCACAGATTTTTATGCCAAACATTACAGATTCATCATAGAGTAAATATGACAGACCTTCTACTCTGATACATAACATGGAAGGGTTGACCAATTTATGTAGCCTTCTGAGACTTAGAATGGATTTGCAAAAAAGCCCCTCAATGTTCAGATCTCTTTACACCTGCTCTTTAAAGGAACTAACTTGTATATGTGGCTGAATTGTCACACATTAATATCATTCTTTATATTACAAATGTTTATATCTATTTATATTTATATTTAAATCAAAGTCAACTAACTATACTAAGTAATCTGATTTAGCAAATGTCTCTTCTTCCAACGAATATCAAGAAATACACGTATATGAATTAATTATTTTAAAAAAATTTATTTAAAAAAAATTTATAACTATATAAATTTAAATAAACTGAAGACATTTAAAGATTTTCTATTTTTTGCTCGTTTGTTTCGGGAAATAAAAATCATTTAAATCCGTAATATATCGTCACACTGAGACATGCTACTTCTTTATTTAAGTGTTTTATTTAAGACATATAACTGGTATATGGTGCGGCTAGGCAAGATGTGATGCATCATTAATTACTTAAACTCATTGCGTTATAAATTGCAATGTCATTTAAACCCATCAATTGTGAGCTATAGGTTTGCACAAACTTCAGTTCTACATCGGATTAATTGATAAATACAATCGATTATGCTATAGATCATTATAAGTTTTGCGCAACAGGCCCAGCTCATGCACGGCGGTGACTCAATACTTTAGGAGCCCTCTTTCTGGAGAATCTTGAACAATTACAGGTCCTGACGCTATATAGCATTTTCGGCTTCGCCAAAGGTTCTAAGTGATTTTAAACCCTGAGTTTTTCCTAAATATATACGGTAACACAATGAGCCAATAGGCCTAAGTGGATCCACTAGGGTTCGCCAGTATAACCTAACCTAACCTTTGCCCAACAGGTTCATCGCTAGCCTTAATAAAATGATAAGTTTCCTGTTCTTTGGTGATATATAAAGTATATTTTTTTGCTCCTCCTCTTCGCTTGTCATCTTACACCATCTCCAAACTTTTAACCTAATTTCACTCGACTTAAATTCTCAAAATTAATCTCTACTAATATTTATATTAGTATTTATATTAGCAATAATATTTATATTAGGTATGTTTTATATATTAGTACGCCAGAGCAATATGAACTTCATTGAAGAAAGAGAGTTTTCATTGTTTTTATGTGTGACTTACCAATCAAAGTCCTCAAATAATTAAAATTTATTAAATGAAATTAATTTTGTGCTTCACACGAGATAAGAAATGAATATGTGTAATTTTTTAGAGATATATTTTAAAAAAAATATATATTCTGCATGAGAAATTTCATATTCATTGATAAAACCACTAATTAATCACGTCTACAAATCCTTCAAATCTTAAATTTATTTACTGAATCAAAACTCAAAGGTGTGTTTTTCTTTTCATTTCGAAAGCTTCCTAAATTCTAGCACGTTTTTATAAAATATCTCGGTATGACTAATTCCATATACATATGTAGTCCAAATCAACGGAGCTTGTGAGTCATAAGCTATAAAATCATTTCAATTTGTGCGATGAATAAAAACAAAACAAAAATACAAGTTTAAATCTTTACACTTAATCATCCACAGCGAAAGAAATTTATTTTTTAAAATTTCCAAAATTTAAAAAATTCCAAAAAGGCACAGTTTTAGTTGCGGATTGTTGGGCTGAGTTCGATTTTTCGTGGGTCACAAAATATTCCTCCTCTTCGACGGGCTTAAATACTGCGCTTCGCGGCAAATCGTTATTTTGGTTGTAGCTCACTGAACGAAAGCCTGGGAAGGGTGCGAAAATTGGTGGGTAGTATGATGGGCCATTTGGGAACGGATAGCCTGGCGGATAAGGATATGGATAGTATGGTGGATAAGATGGATATGTTGGATACGGTCTTCGTGTGGTACTGTACGGTGTCGGAGGTGGATATGTGGGTGCATTGTTATATGGATATGGATAATAGACGTAATGAGGCCGAGAACTTTCTTTTATTACTGTTTTTGTTCTGGCCGTTTCGACATCATTGTCATTCTTAACCGCTGGAGTATGTTCATTTGTACATGGCGGTGAACTCACATCCAAATCTTTGTTAGTTGTTGTTGTCGAAGATATCACACTAAAATTGTTGATTATTTCCGGCGAAGTGGTCTCCAAATCTTTGTTAGCTGCTGTTGTTGAAGATATTTCACTGGAATTCTTGACTATTTCCGGCGTGTTGCTCTCACTTTTGACCGCTTTGAGCTGATTTTGTTCGGTTGTTAATTCATCTGTATGTCCTCCTGTCACTGTTAGAACTAGAAAGTATACGAAAAAGCATGAATTTAAATAAAATCTTAAAAATGTTCATTTTAGTACCAAAAAGAAGAAGAACGGTTTTCCACTGCATCTTTTCAAGAATAAAATTGAGGAAATATGTCGGTTCTATTTATACCAAAATTACAGAGTGCAGTTTAGTGAAAGTTATTTTATTCAACATTTTTTTCTATGCATTTTACCTAAACTTTGTTTTTAAATATGTAAATTAAATTTAAATACAAAATCTGAAGAAAAATGTATAATAAAACAAGTTTTCAATCTTCAAATCCCCGTAATATTTCGTTTATTAAAAATAAATTTACATTTAAATCACTTTTCCGACCTTTTCTTGTTTTTCATTTCTCACCATTTTTTTACTATAATTTAGTAATTTTTATTTCAAAACTGCTATTTAAATAATTCTTGTTCCAAACTGTATTTTGTGGTCTTAACGATAACTCAAAACTCTCTTCCAGTAACAAGTTTTTAAATGCTCAACTTAAATGACAGAAAAACAAAGCGATCCATTCTTCACATAAATTCGCCAGAGTCTATGGTATCGTTTTGTTCTTGGAAGATGTTAATTAAATTGAAAATGTTTTATCAGAATCCCAACAACTTCATTTTCAAAACAAGGAGAATCTGCAACAGATATTTGGGATATCGCCTATCACCTGATCTCATGCGCCATTCGAACTTATTGCAGCTTGATCATCAGAAATTGTAGTCTCTTTCATTGCTGTACTTTCAACAAACTTCCATAAGTGGGATGATTTGTTTCTATCAAAATAAAAGCAAATGTGCTTTTATTAAAAGTAGATTCTGACTCCAAGCTCTACAATAAGTCTTGAACTCATCTGCTCAAAAATGTTAAACTCTAAATACACTACAAATTTTCTGACTATTTATTTCGGAAATTTTTAAAATAAAATCAACGACCTCTTTCCCCTTGTGTTTGTAAAAGTTGTACAATAAATAGAACAAAATTTAAAACTTTAATTTGACAAAAATAAATAAAATTTTACAAAAATATTTACTTTCCAAGTATTATCTATGTAACATAAGTAAAGCAGAAATTTAATAAATGTTGATAAGAAAAAACTATTGCAATAGCTTTTGTTCATACTTAGGTAAGGAATTACTTTTTATTTAAAATAAACTTGACACGTACCTTTGATATATTCAAAAAATCACACGTCCTCTATAACTTCACTTTACGGTTTTTCAAAACAATTTTGTAGACTTTTTGACGTTTTCTTTTTTTTTTGACGCTTTATTTTGAACGACAATTTTATTCCATTGAATAATAATTTAATAATTATAATGAATTAATAACAATAACAAATTAACATACGAAATTGCTTTAAATCTATTATTTTAAAAATAATAGAAGTAGACTAATCAAAACTACTATATTTCTAAACTAAATGTCAAATTGTAATGAAATTCTAAATTTGAGGTGCCAATGTTGGGCCTTTTCCAAGAAGAGGTCACAGAATGATAAGCTCACAAAATTAAGCCGAACTTGGATAAAAGAGAGTATTCTGACTTCCATCTTTGAGGCGGAACTTCAGATCTGTCGTACGGACAGTATCATCCGTGGTATCACAACAGGCCACTATTTGTACTCAATTGAGTTATGGTACAAAATAATTATTCGTAAATAAATTTTTGAGACTGCAAATACCAGGAATCGAACTCATGTCCCGCCAAATTTGAAGCTCAGAGTCAGCGCTCCTTAACCAACTGACCCAAAGCTGTATTTCACTTGTATGTTCGCATATTTTTCTGGAGTTTTGTTAATTTGCTTTGAAAGTTTATTAACAAATTCACTTGCTGTGTTATATTAGAATGAAATCATAAACCAGCTGTAGAATAATTGAATTAATTAATTATATTTATTTATAAATTAGTTTACTATTACATATAATTAAATTAAATGATCATTTAAATTAATTAAATTAATTTAAAGTTTCTAATTTAGGAGTTAAATATTTTTATTACTCTATAATTCAATTTATAATTTAGTTTACTATTAAATTATTAATTTAATTTAATTAAGGTACAATAAAAATTAAATAAATTTATGACTGTTTAAAATAATATGTCTTTACTCTTTTACAGATTGAAGCATTACATTGTGAAGGTAAATATGACAAACGTTTAAAAATAGATAAGAGTTCAGAATTTATAAAACTCATTTTTATGATCAAACATAATTAGCAATAATTTTATATTTAAATGGAAGAAACTAACTCAAATCTGAAGATTGGTTGGAAGTTTCTTTATTCGTATTTGATAAATCGCTTCTAACTTGCATTTTAGTTTTTTGCTAAAACTGTTTTTTTGGGTAAGCAAAATATTAATTTGTAAAAAAATATTGCATACTTTTAGGCAGAATATCGATTTAATGACCGTATGAATGTTGCAATTCATACGAATATCGTAAAACAATTTGAGCAACTCCAGTGGCGTAAATTATTAAAAAACAAACTTTAATAAGAAATATAAAAACGTTGATCCAAGTAATAATAAATTAAATTATTATTAAATATGTGAAAAATATCCCCAAATTCACTTGAAATCATCAAAAGAAATAAAGTTATTTCAACTTCAAGCACTTTCAGGCATTGTTTCAATAAAACTCTAATTAAACAAAAATCCTAAATGGAAGAAGTACTGGACCTATAAGTCAAAATACATACTAAAGCTAACATTTACAAATAAAAATTTGAAATTGCGGTATCCGTTTTTTTGCTATCTTTACATGTGACGTCATTGATTTGTTTATGAACATCAAGAAAAAAAAAATATATTTTGTAATGAATTTTAATTTTTTTTCATTATTCTATAAATATTTTTTATTTTTATTCTCTTTGCAAAACTGTGTTTTTTAACATATTTGTTGACAAAAAAATATAATCGCAGTGTAATTATTTATTTGTTGATATTTAATCAAATTATGTTCTCTTGGTGGATTTAATAAAATTTTTGATAACATCTCAAAATAGTTGTGTTTTCTACAAAACATAAAATATTTTCTTCACTCCTTTAAAGTAGTTAACCTAAAATCGAAGAAATGGCATTAGAAAGTGTAAGTGATATATAAATCTAAACCCAAAAAAAAAACGGAAAAAATGAATATATCGCATTTCGACATTTTTTCCAAATCTATTTAGATAAAATGTATTACAACCATTCCAAGTTTAATTTAATAACTAGAATTAAATTATCATCACAGAAAATAATATAACTTAACAATTAATTTTGCCAAATCATTGGTCTTGATCTATTCTCTCTTGTTAAGAAATGGAACTAACCTATACGTAGAAGTAATTTACTGCATAATATGAATACATTCCATTAAAAGTAAAGTTGGCCATTAAATTCAATTATTTAAATGTATATAGTCAAAGAGATGACCATATAAATTAACTATATAGACCAAGAGATGATACAAAAATTTATGTTTTAATTTAAATATTTATATTTGTAAAGAAAAAAATGTTCTTTTCGATGACGCCATTAGCATGTCCAATGTCCCGAAATAAAGTTACTATATAATATTAAGTAAGTGGTATGTTAGATCTTTGATAAATATATTCTACTGATTTTTCACTAGCACTAATATTTGTCCTCTTCTAATGAAGATATGTAGTAAAAGTTATCGTACGGTAAGCCTACTATCTCACGGTATGTCCCATGATGATCTTGCATTATCAGTTTTTGCACAACATCAATATATTCTGGCACAATTGATGCACTCTTGTCTTGATCTGCAT